TACCATTTGTCAGGAAAAGTCAAAACCAGGAGCTCAGATGCCTCTTGACCTTTTCCAAGGGCAAAGGAGAGAAAGACCCACTGTGTTTGCCCATGATGCCATCTGCTTCTCAGCCTGATGGAGTATCTCCGACAAGGGCAGGAATGACCTTGCCCACAAACACCAATTCTACAAGTCTTATGAGTGGTTTGCTTGTCAGGCAACTCTAGCCCTAGGGTGTATTTTTGACAATTTCTAGAAATTTCTGGTGAGGCTTATTAATTGTTAAGGACTTCATTTTCCCAGGATGGTCACAATATGAGGACACTCATGCCCTCGATTTGGAATAACATTGAGAATAACACTATTGATCCTTGAAGATGGAACACATATTCATTATGAAATGGGTCTATGAGTTGGTTCAGAACACAATTCGCAATAAATTCATTCAAAATTTTATCTCTCTCTTGTTTCAGAATTTTCTTTCATGGTATGCTCACTTGAGTGTCAGTCATCTTATTAAGAGGGTCCAAATAATCTAGTCGTGGTGGTCATTTGGCTTGACCCTAGGATTCTTTATCTGATTGCAACACATATTTTAGATGGGAACAACATACCTCAGCCCTGCTACAGTGAGAGTTTAAAGGGAACCCTTGTTTTTCACATAGTGAAATTAGGTACATCTTGTTTGAGGCTACACTTTTACAGAGTGGGTAGACTAAGAAGGCCATGTGTCATTGAAGAGAAGTAAATAGATGTGTGCCAGACCAGAACCATTTTAGTGACTTGCTATAAATTGTGTCTCAAATACCTGAGTTATTGGAAGCATTGAGGGTGAACCAACAAAGTTGTTTCATAAAGCTGTAATTCTTAAAGTCCCTCACCCTGGCTGTGTGACTGCATGTCATTGATGGTCTCCGTCTAGACAGAGAACATTCTGCTTAGAAGGAAGAATAGGGCGAGACTGGGCAGTCCATCTCAGATCTCTTCTTCTCCTGACCCCGTTATGAGAACCCACTCATGATTTCTGATCCTGTGCCAGTCCTGAGTATCTTAATGTGTTTTTTGTATCCACCTGATGTTGGACCATATGTGCAGTAGATTCTAATTCCTTGCCTTATTCTGAGCCCTTGTTCAGAGTTTTCAACCTGTGCCCTGGACTTTTCTTGACTGTTTTTTAGATATGTGGTGGCTAACAGCCTGGGCTCTGATTTTAAGTTCCAGTCACCCTGTTTAATGCCTGTGACTTTAATACACTTACCATCTCTAGTCTCTGTGCTGTCAACTGTAGAAGAAACACAATAATAGGACCTGCCTCTCGGGGCTTCCCAAGTAATAAAAGAGAGGCTCTTGGTGCATGCCCACATATAGAAAACACACAGTAAATATTTGTTCTTCCTCTTTTCATTTAGTCCAGTTATTTTAAGTCCGTGCTTTACCTCATCTCCCTTCTAGGAACCTGAGCATCCTAGATTTAAACATCAAAATTTGAGACTTCCTCATTGACGTCTTTCTATGCTCAGGTATTGGACTGTGTTCATTTACACCACAGTTCTCTTAAGCAGTGAGGACCAGCATTATCCTTACTGTAGAGTCAGGGAAGTGTGGCAGAGAAACAACACAAATTCCTGGGGGCCCAGCCTATCTTAGGAGAAATTCAGGCTTGTCATGTCCGCTAATTCTCACTAACCCTGGAGATTTCATTTCTTCTACAGTGTGATTATTCATCTTTCTTATCAACACACTCT